ATTTTACCCATCAACCCTGCTAACAACTCATCCCAACTGCAGCTTTTCTCTGAGGAACCCAAAACCTCGGAGGATGTTGAGCTTTCGGTTGTCTCGTTCCCTTCTGCAGTTGTCAAACACTTTGCCATTGGGATTGATGGAGGTAACTGAATAAAGAACATACTAGGTTCCAAACTTCCGTCATCCTGACTGTCCTACATTTGTCATGGCACTTTCCTTAGTTACGACTAGTTCAAATCCCAGTTGATCTTTACTCATCAAAATACTAACCATTAGGCCAAGTTCCGTGGCTGAGTTTAGTATAGTTTCATCATAAGTCACACTACTCGAGGCCTCCCCAAACTCCTCTTCATCAAGAAGTTCTGCAAGTAAAAACACAGTGTTGCAGATATTTTGGAGTTATGACAAAATCAATACATTGTGGTAATTATTTGTGAACTAAAAATGGTGACATATCAAAAGCCACAACTATGCCAGTGGATATAAAGGTATAATTAGGAGTTGTAAATTTTCAACTAAAATAAACTGGATAGTGTACCTGGATTTCCTGAATATGGTCTCCTTAGAGGAAGAGTTACAGGATAGTAACTGTAATAGTCCTGCCAAAGAGTTAAGTAAGAAAAGAAACTTTAATTCTTGAACAACTAACCAAGTAGAAAGCGACATGTCATTGCATGATTTACCAACCCATGGTTCTCTGTATTCTTTCTCCCCTCTCAGGCCGGGACCACTGGAACTACCTATAAAGACCACAAATCTAATAAGTTTGAAAGGATAATTGCAGCTTAAGTAAGCATGGAGGAGGCTAAGTTTTTGAGTCAGAAGTTGAACCTTGATATGAATTAACATTATTTTGATCCCTTTGAGCATGATATGATTTTAACGAACTTGAAGTCCCTCCATAACCAAATGCAATTTGCGATGGAGCCACTGTAAAATCCACAAGTCAAAACCCAATGTAACCAAATCCACAAGCCTCCATAACCAAATGCTTTCATTTATTTATGAAGGCAAAACCATACACTAGTACTTCTGATGGCTAAATGTTAAATTTCTTCCTTCATTGAGGGACATATGGCAAGGATCTAAAATTGTATTAGAAGGCAAGAATTAGCAATCCAGAGCAAAAGTCTAGATCATGCTAATGCACTTCTAAGTTCACTATTATTCACATCTATGAAGTACGAAACACGAGCAAATATTTACGGGATTTCCGAACACCATTAGCTAACATGTATGTTCTTCCTATGTTCTTTTCCTCTGTTATCTATCTCCAAAGGCCAAGGTCATGACGACCAACACAAACAAGCATCGCATCATTTCACAGCTAACACTTTCATCATCAGAAACCATAATACGAAATGTTAATAAAAGATGCACCTTTTCTCTCAATTTTGGGCTTCTCCTTCAAGATACCTTCCTGTGATCAATGACATCAAAAGTCAAGTTTCAGAAAGATCCCATATGCAAAATAGTTAAACACATCCACAAGAGACTGCACGTTGACAAAACAGAGTGATATAAACGTAGACGCACATTGAAGTGCCGGAGCAAGTCCTTGGCCTTTGCTTCGTCGTCGTCCTCATCTCTAACTTCTCTGCAAAGCAACACAAAGGCTGTGATCAATTGAAGTGCTTTGATGATTCAGTAAAGCAATGCCATGAGCAATGCCATGAAACCCAGAAAGGTTATTCTATACGTCTTGACAACAGCAGGTTTTGGCCTTCGAACTGGAGGAGCTTTAGGTGCAAATCTCAACTGCAACATCACAACACAAAACATTCATTACCCAAGAAACAAAAAGAACAAGGAAGACCATCCCCAGCCAATGCAATTGTCATTTAGCAGAAAATAACAAATATCAAATGAATAAATAAAAAAAACCTAAGAAGGGCACGAACCAACCTTCCTTGGAGCAGCACCATAATCGCTGACAGGTTTTGAATCCATCAGATTCAGCTTCTGATCTTTCAAATTAAAGTTGGAGTAAAGAATTTGCTGAAGATTCAAATTGCCCGATTAATTTTGATGAATCCGGAAATTAGTTATCAGCCCAGTGATCATCGAGGGCTCATCGCCAATCAATAGAGGGTGTCTCAATTCGTCTTTGGTCTCTGGTTTCTTCTTCAAAATGGCAATGGCGGTTAGGGTTTCACCTAACCTTGTTCAATTACCGCCTAACGTGTTCACACTAATCAAGAGTTTCAAAATTCAATTCCTAACCAAACTAGGGTAAGCAACAATCAACACATGAACCTAACGTGCATAATGTCAATGCAAGTTAGATCAAACACGCGATTCAAAGTGTGTAAACCAAGCAACGTGCGATCGAATATGACACTAATCACACAATAGGGCAACAAAAACCAATTCCAAAGTCCAAATGAATATTTTGATTTTTCGAATTTTTTTTTAAAATTTTTTAATTAATTTTTTTTTAAACAATAATATTTTTTAATATTAAAATAATAATATTATATTAAAATATTATAAAATCGGATCCGGGTCGGATCTCCACATCCGACCCGGATCGGGACTGACCCGGGTCCGCCGCGAGGGGGGCTCGGCGAAGGCCCACTTCGGAATAAAAAAAACCACAACCCAAAAATAATTAATTAAAAAACACCTAGGCCCAGCCCACTATAAATAAAAACCTAAATAACACTTCAGCCCAAATTGACCAAATTCGGCCCATCCGGGAAAGGCCCAAAACCAAAAAAACTATTCTAATTCTAAACTAAAAAGCCCAAAACCTAATAAAACCTAAATTCAGGCCCAAACACCAAACAAAAAAACTACCCGGTTGTGACCCGTTCGCCCGACCCGGTTACCGGCCGCCCACCCGACTCGCTTGAAACCCTACGCGGTTCGCGGCCGCCACACCGCACCCAGGGACTCGCCTGAACGCCGGCCGCCGCTGGAGCGCATGCCCGGCCTTCACGGCCGAGACTTTCCGGCCACGCGGCTGGGCCCGTGCCTGGCCGCCGCTCGTCAACCTGAGTCGCCGGCCCGGTTACGCGGCCGCCTCTGTACGCGTCGCCACCCCGACGAGGAGTGGTTGATGTTCTTCGCCCGCGGCCGGTCCTAGCGCCGACGACCGACCGCCTCAGCCTGCATCGCCACCCCACCGAGGGGCGGCGGCGTCCTCCGTCCGGGTCACTGCTGTGGTGACCGGCGGCTGACTGAGACCACCCAAGCCCCGACGAGGGGCTGGGCGGCTGCGAACCAGCCAGATCCCGACAAGGGACTGGCTGTTCGCTCCCTTTCGTGGCCACGCCCGGACCGCCGTGGCGACCGGTGGCCCACCGGAACCGTCCGACGTTCCCAAAATTGCAGCGAAACAAAGCCAGATTCAGGAGTTGGTTCAGGCATATCATCAAACACATTGCGAGCGTCGACTGGAAAAGGAAAAACCAAGCCGATGGAAGTTCAAACGTCGATCGCAATCAGCACACACGGAAGACAGCATACAACAGCCACCAGGGAAGGCTCACCGACGCTCGGTAACGGCTGAAAACGAGCCTCGGCCCCCGCCGGCAGAGACTCTAAAAAACAGAGCAAAAAAAAGGAGCCGAAACAGGGGGGTTCGGTGGCATTGTCCCTACCCGGCTCGGCGGCGGCGAATGGGGGCGAGCTCGATAGATCGGATTATGTCCGGTCGCCTCGCACGCCTCCGAGCCGGAATCCTCGGGAATTCTACCACGATCCAAACAAAACGAAACCCGACGAAAACTCGGGTCGGGACCTACCGTGGGAAAAAGGAATGTATCGGAACGTCGCCGGCCACGGTTGAGGCGTGGCGGTCACCGACCGGAGACCGTTCACCTTCGATCTCGCTCTCCGACCTCTCTCTCTCGCTCCCTCTTGGCTCTCTCGGAACTCTCCCTGTCTCTCTCGGAACTCTCGGTCTCACCCTCCTCCTCCGGATCTCTCTCTTCTCGGAACTCTCTCCCTCTGTGCCTCTGCCCCCCTGCTCCGTCTTCTGCCTCTCTGCTTTTGTTCTTCTCTGGCTTTTGTTTTTCTATTCTCGTTCCTTTTTGGTTTGTGCAGAACCCCTCTTTTTCGTACTCTTCTCCCTTTTCTTCTTTTTCGTGAGTCAAAGGGGCAGAGCCTCTGTCCATGGGGAAGAGCTCCCTTTTTACTTTCTTTTTTTTCTCTCTTCTTCTTTTTTTTTTAAATTTTTATAATAATTTTTTAACACAAAATAAAAATGAAATAAAATAAGAGGAAAATATGTTTTCACTAAATTCTATTAATGCAAATACGCCTATCATTTATATGCCAATTAATTTAATGAAAATATTTTCGTTTATGGGTTAAAAATTAATCCCTAATTTTCTACGCAATTAAACCCTAAATGATTGAACAAAATTTAGGTGTCGACACATGCATTGAGAAACAAAATGATATATGAAGTGGGGTCTGAAAAGTACTCACATCGTAGAGAGTATCACCGAGCTTGAGCTTGACAGCACCACTTCTATACACCGGCATTTTACCCATCAACCCTGCTGACAACTCATCCAAACTGCAGCTTTTCTCCGAGGAACCCAAAACCTCGGAGGATGTTGAGCTTTCGGTTGTCTCGTTCCCTTCTGCAGTCGTCAAACGCTTTGCCATCGGGATTGTTGGAGGTAACTAAATAAAGAACATATTAGGTTCCAAACTTTCGTCATCCTGATTGTCCTACATTTGTCATGGCACTTTCCTTAGTTACGACTAGTTCAGATCCCAGTTGATCTTTACTCATCAAAATACTAACCATTAGGCCAAGTTCCGTGGCTGTTGCAGATATTTTGGAGTTATGACAAAATCAATACATTGTGGTAATTATTTGTGAACTAAAAATGGTGACATATCAAAAGCCACAACTATGCCAGTGGATATAAAGGTATAATTAGGAGCTGTAAATTTTCAACTGAAATAAACTGGATAGTGTACCTGGATTTCCTGAATATGGTCTCCTTAGAGGAAGAGTTACAGGATAGTAACTGTAAAATGCTTGAACGGGACGTGGTGACTTAGAACTCGATGATTGGAGGCCTGACACGGAACGGGCGGTTCCACGACGCGCTCGCATCTTTCCGAGAAATGCTGGGTTCGAATGTCGAGCCTGATGGTTTCACGTTTGCGTCTCTTTTCACCAGTTGCGCGCGGGTCGGGTTTCTAAGTCACGCATTGTGGGCGCACGGGTTGATGATCGAGGAAAAGATTGAACCGCACTTTATATTGAATGCAGCCCTTATTGACATGTATGCAAGATGTGGCAAGATCCAAACTGCTCGAGAAATTTTCGACAGCATTCATCGAGACGATGTATCGGTTTGGAATTCAATGATTAATGGGCTGGCCATTCATGGCGTTGCCCATGATGCTATTACAGTTTTCTCCGAGATGGAACGGGAAAAAGTCTCACCCGATTCTATAACTTTTGTTGGTATATTGACAGCCTGTAGCCGTTGTGGGTTGGTTGAGGAAGGGCGCAAGTATTTTGATTCAATGAGGAGCCATTACTCCATTCAGCCCGAAATACAGCATTATGGTGCCATGGTTGATCTGTTGGCTCGAGCGGGATCAGTGGACGAGGCCTATGCTATGATTAAGGAAATGCCCATGAAACCAGATGCTGCAATGTGGAGGACTCTCCTCAGTTCTTGCAGGGTCTTTAAAAGGTCGCGACTCGGTGAAGTTGCCGTTGCAAATATTCCGCGTCGCGAAAGTGGGGATTATGTCTTGCTCTCAAACACCTACTGCTCTTTAACTAGGTGGGATAGTGCGGAAAAAATGAGAAATTCGATGAAAAGGAAAGGAGTTGGTAAAAATTGTGGAAAGAGTTGGATTGAGTATGCATGTGAGATTCACCAATTCAGATCGGGTGATAGGTCGCACAGGGAAACAGAAGCGATGTACGAAGTTTTGGATGACCTTATTAAAAGAACTAAAATGGCGGGCTTCGTGCCTTCAATGGAGTTGGTTCTGATGGACGTTGCTGATGAAGAGAAGGAGGAGAATTTGAACTTTCACAGTGAAAAACTGGCGGTGGCATATGGGGTCTTGAAATCTAGTCCGGGGAGCGAGATCATGGTGTTGAAGAACCTTAGGATCTACTAGGATTGTCATTGCTGGATAAAATTGGTTTCAAGGGTATTGAGCAGAACGATAGTCGTGAGAGACCGACTCCGGTTTCACCGATTTGAAGGTGGCTTGTGTTCGTGCAACGACTATTGGTAGCCTACACATGGTTGCTTCCTTTTAGCCTTCGGCGCTACTAACCATACCAGATACCTTTTATGCGAAGGTAGCTATCAGGCGGTTCTGCTAGATTATCATTTATCATTTATCATTTAGAAGGGATTGCACTAATTACAAGCTAGTATTACCCGTTCGATTGTTTTTAACATTTGAGAGAAGGGTTGGTTACATATAGAGATTTCTATGAGAATATGAGATTAGGAGCTAATGTACTTGTGTTCCAGAACCAGCCTTGACAACAGCGAGGAGAGGAACCATTTGGAGGTGATAATCAATTTCAGACCATGGTCAACACGCTCCTTTTATTGTTTTTCTAATTTCAGCATGCTCCTTGATCAAGTAAGTTGTCGAAAAACTTATCACCGAATAGAGACTCGACTCGCTGCTCTTTGTTTCCCTCTCACCAATTTACTGTTCCTCTACTCCTTTGCTTTGCTAGTTGAATGGACAGGGACTTGCCGTCACCGAATATTATTTTGTGTGCTGAAATGATTTGTGCTCATGTGTAACCCGATTAGAAGCGCAATGTCAAACTCAACAAAGTGTAAGGAGTTCACGATCATGAGGATGGATATGTAGTACATCTAATCATGTTGCATTTTCCGCACCACATCCCATCCTATATGTTATTAACAAAGAGTACAGAGTACATCAATCGATTCCTTTAACTACTCCTGATGCAAACTGATGATTTGTATTGCTAGAATGGCGTGCTAGTCATCCCATCAGGTGGCCCTAGACGATGCTTTTGGACAAGCAGGACATGGGCGAGCGGCTTCGTTTCTGTGCTTGATTGACTAGACATTCACAGTCATGGCAAAGAAGTTTCAACTTGAGCTGTGCAATCGATCCGGTTCTCCTTGAAATCGGACCGGACCTGATGGGACCAAACCGCCCATAAAAATAGGTTTGATTTCCTGTTCCAAATCGGTACTGTGCAGGTAGGTTCTAGGTTGTGGATGTTGAACTTACTCACTCATTTACTCAGAACCGGCTAGAACCTGTTTTTTGAAATTGAAAGAAAATGATATATTATTCTTAAATGAGTTTAACTTCTCTATTGCTTTATAAATCTGTTTGTTTTGTATTGATATTTTACTTTGAGCTGTTTTGATGCTCAATAAAAATAGAAATCGGTTCATGGGTAGACTTCGGAACCGGACCTAACAAACAGGGTAGGTTCCAGGTCGATTCCAAAACAAGTAGGATAGATTCCAGGTTCAAAAAACTGGGAACCGGGTATATCACGGTAGGTTTTCAAGTAACCTACCTACCTACCTTAGAACCGATCACCCTTAGTTTCAACCCGGCCCGGTCTGTTAAGTGGCCTGGACAATGATTTTGGGCTAGCTAGTTGGGCCACCAGAAGGCCACGAGGCTGGCGTCTCCCCTTCACAGGCTCGCAACTGTAACGAGGTTTGGACAACGCCGGCCAGGTGTTCGACGTTTTGTCCCGCCGTCCAGGCCCATCCCCTCATCGTCACGAATCAAACCAATCCCCTCCACACTCCATGGTCACACCACCTACTCCTTTCACTCTCTCACTCCTCTCGATCACAGTCACTCATTATGATTCACTATCTCCGATCTCGCGCACACATTTTCCCTTCCCTCTCCCACACCTTCTTGCCCCCCAACCGCTCCTTCAGACCCTCCTCCCTCTCCGTCAAGCCCCTCTCCACCACCGCCGCCGCCGCCATGTCCTCCGCCGCCCCCGCCCAGCTCGTCGAGCACATCGTCCTCTTCAAGGTCAAGGACGGCACCGACCCCTCCCGGGTCGACGCCATGCTCACCGGCCTCAACGCCCTGACCTCGCTCGACACGGTCCTCCACCTCGCCGCCGGCCCGGTCCTCCAGACCAGGTCCTCCCTCTTCGCCTTCACCCACATGCTCCACAGCCGCTACCGGACCAAGGACGACCTGGCCGCTTACTCCGCCCACCCCAGCCACATGGGTGTCGTGAAAGAGTCCGTCTTGCCCATCTGCGACGACATCATGGCCGTCGATTGGGTCGCCGACCGCGTCCCCGAGAGCCTCGTGGTGCCCCCGGGGTCCGCCGTCAAGGTGAGCTTCCTCAAATTGAAGGAGGGTTCGGGGGACGGGGCGAAGGGCGAGGTGATGGGGGTGATTGAAGGGATTAAGGATGGGTTTGCGAAGATCGAGCAGGTGACGTGCGGGGAGAACTTCTCGCCGGCGCGGGCCAAGGGGTTCTCGATCGCGTCGCTCGCGGTTTTTAAGAGCGTGGAGGAGATGGCGGCCGCGGTGGCCGATGAGGAGGCCGTGAATTCGCGGAAGGAGAAGGTTAGGGAGTACTTGGACGGCGTGATCGTGGTGGATTACGTGGTCCCGGAACTGCAGCCGTCGAGCGCGAGCCTTTGATGGAATGATGGATGATTGCCTCCCTTTGGAGGTTTATGTCAAATGTTTTGTATCTCTCTTGCTCCGACTGTTGAGATACCTGAAACTGCTTAACGATGATGGAATAAATTATATGATGAGCAGTCTTGGTGCTTGAATTGCATTTTTGTTCTCTAATTATATGGCTGGTGAGTTGATATGGAGTAGATAACTATCTTTAGGACAAAAGGGTATATGATTCTTGAATGAATGAAGGACAAAGTTTAGTGCTTTTTCGGATTATGACACGTGAGGAAGAAATGAGTAGATTTTTTTAGATCATTTAGACTGTTAACATAACTTTTATAGCTCGTGAGAACCGTGGCGAGGCTGTTGCTTCCGGTGATCTGGTTCTTGTAGTTGGTAGCATGCTAAGTCTTTGATATCGGGACTTGTTGGAACTTCCAGTAACTCGATAATGTGAACTCAGATGATTGGAGCCTGAGGATTTCTGTGGGATGCAGCATTTGATGCTGCATTAGGTCCCAGTATTGAGTTAGAAAAATTGACATCTAATGTGCCATATCTTTCATCTTTTCTCTTGCTGTCTGCTTGTGATATTTGTCCACTTCCTATGCCATTGTACCATGATAGAAAATTATTTAGCTTCCATCAATTATTGTACCTAGTGATGGCATACAATTACTCATGTGAAAGATTCTCCGTGGCCCAGGCAAGTTTCTCAGTGTGGCACTTCAATAGAATTGTGTTGGCAAGTTATATATTCTCATAAGTCTCATAAAGCTGTCTAAAAAAGAGACGTCAAGTATCCTTCTGGTGGTCAATTCACTCTAGAATCTATGGTTTAGTTTCTTAGTGGGATGAATCAGAAGTAGACTGATTTAATGCAATGATGTGGCTACTCTTTTAATGGTTGCTTGCGTTGACCGTGGCGAACTCCTCCTTGTAAGTCTGGTCTACAAATGCTAGTGGATGCTCTCTAACTGGTGCTAACTTTTAGTAACTGCAGCCTGTTGCTGTCTTTTAGATTCAAAGGGCCACATCATTATTTTCAGTTGAATTGTAGAATGGTAACAATGAAATGTAATGGCACCAAAAGATGCTGTCTCTGGATACTTTTCTGATAGCATTGACAACGTCAAACCCAGCAATTACAATATACTAAGTACTGTTGGAGTGTCTGGAATCAAATTATATTCTGTGTGGTCTGACTTAATATTCGTTTAGTCTAGGAGTAGTATGGTCAACCATTTTCATTCTTTGCATGGTGGAAAGACTTCGGACACTGTGAAATCTTCTAGGATGTTGAGGGCGCCTGTCTATGTACGAGGCGAGCAATTTTTTGGTTCTTGTCCTTTTTCACCTCTTGGAAAGAGTCTCTCTGGGTTTATGGATGGCTTACATTTCCAGCGTAATTGCGGTGGAGTGACTACTACTGTTTTTCATTGCATAGCTGTTCTAAATTTGTAAGATTTCGTATATGCGAACGGAAAACATTTGGTTGCACTTTCTCTTTGTAAGTGAGATTTGTCATATCTGTCGTTAAGTTAGTGATTAATGACTAGATTACGGCATATCGTCAATATTATAACAGTAAAGGCTGTTTTATCACATCAATCCCACAAGTTCTGGCTTTTTGTTTCCAATCAGCAGAAAGCTCGTCTTCGTGCAAGAACCAGAGATCTACCTCCGATAATAGGCACTCCAATATTAGGCTTCTGTCATGTTTACAGTGTATGTACAGTATTCATTTGGTTTTCCTTGGTATATTGTCCTATGCTAATAGCAGATGCTTTAAGGCATTGTCAATCGAAGTGGTACGTGCTTTCTCTTCGGTTTTACTGTTGTTTTGGGAGCTTTCTATTGAGCATTGAATTGCAAGACTTGATTGGAGCTTCAAGTGGTCTTTATAAGTTTTCTTTGTGATCTTTGTAGATGCTCATGGACTCACCCATTGCGTTCGATGTTCCTCTTTCGATGTTCATCTTTCGTTGCCTTTAAAATGCGCGATCGAGATATGTTACTCCTTTTTCTCCCGTGGTAGTGTACCATCCTGGAAATGCTGATGTCTTTGTTCATGTTAAAAATGACGTGTGATTTCTGAGATGCCCTTTGCAGCTAGCTCGGGGTGAGCAAACGGAATTGCCGGTCCGAACCAAATTGGCCAGTTCTTGGTGGTTTTCGGGGGCACCGGTTTGATTCTCGGTTTCCAAGTATTGGAATCGGTGATTTTCGGTCCGATTCCCGGACCCATGGGTGGAACTGCCTACTCGAACCAATTGGACCGTATCAAATTTTTTTACATATTTCTTACGAAAAATGTAAAAATTTGAAAAGACCTAATCCTTCACAACACAACCCAGTCACTCTCTCGCACGCCCGACTCACTCTCTCCCTCTTTCACAAATCTGAGCAAAAACCCCGATCTCAATCTCTCTCTCGCTCAATTCGCTGGCCTCACTCTCGCTCAACTGTCACTTCACTCTCGCAACTGTCACCTCACTCTCGCTTGATTGTTACCTCTCTCTTGCGGTCTCACTCTCTCGCTCGACTCTCATCTCTCTCTTGCTCTGTTTTTGGCTGATCGTTATCGCGATCGCATATCATCGAGGTAAATATCCAATGCTCTGTTTTTCTGAGAACTTGTTCATGCTAATTGGGCTCCCGGTGGACTAGCATATTCAAAGTCTCTTTATGGTTTGAACTTTCTTGTTCTGCTAAAATGTGAATAACCTCAGCTTGACTTAAGGTAAGAACTTATACGGTGCTACCGTGGCTTAACATTGTACATTGGATTTTGTAGAAATTTTTCTATTCAAATACTTTCTTGTTGTGGGTCAGCCATTGCAAAGGACACCTTATTTGGCTTCGTTTATGAATAAGAATGCCGGAACTATATGAAGAAATTGAATAATCAAATGGAGTGTTAAAAACAAACATGCAACCAGTTCCATTGGCACCAATTCTCGATTTCTAGAGGGGAACCGGACAACCCAAGAACCGATCACTCCTACAGTTAAAAGCATTGCCGTACTCTCTCTCTCTCTCTCTCTCTCTCTCTCTC